CCGCCGCTGCGGCGGGCGGGCTCGCGGTGCGGCAACGGGCTGCGACATGCGGGGCGGGGCACGCAGCAGCGTCGCTGCAACGCGTGTGCACCGGGCGTGCACTGGTGCAGAGGGGCTGGGCGGCTCGCAGCTGACCTGTCGTAGTAGCGTTCAAAGACGACGTGGCCGCCTTTTGTCGCCACCACTAGGCAGTGGATGCGCCCATAGTCCGACATCGCAGCGCCCTCCGCCTGCGCCCGCCGCCGGACCTGGCGGGTGCCACAGTGTAGCTAGACGTGCCCGTCCGTGCCCCTTTGCAGTGCAAGTGCGCCAGGTTCAGTCCTAGGAGGGCTATCTGGACGCTTCTGGAGTCTTGGCCAAGAAGTTGCGGGCGATCGCCGCTTGCGCTGCTGCTTCCCTAGCGCCGCTGCTCGCAACCGTGCAGTCGCTGTGGCTGTTCGGCGCCGCCACACGCCTAGACTGTCAAATGATGTAGAATACAGTTGACATCCAATTTATATCCTCACAAGACTGCTTTATGCCATTCGTAGCATGATCTGGGCTAGGGATCCGATAGGATCGCCCTTTCACGAGAGCAATTTTTGGTCGTGTATACAATTGAATTTTGATTGTTGCAGTACCGTATGTCACCTGCACTTGCTGGCCGTGGCATTCACCACTCGGACTTCGTCAAGCGCTGCTCGCTGCACCTCATTGATGGACTACAGCAGCACCGCGCCCAGCAAACATAAGCGCGGCTACCGTAGGGAGGAGAGTCACTGATGCATAATCCACCTCGCCTCTATTTATGTGCTGGCGGTGCCAGAAGCCGCTGCCGGTGTGCCAGGAGCTGTTGCTAACGACAGCAGTGATGCAGGCCGGTCATCGCAGCTGGAATGCACCAGCAGCAACCACCCAATCCCCACCCTCCCTGCTCGTCACAGAAGTTACCATCATTCAACCACGACACAACACGGACGCCTTCCCTCAGAAGCTAGTGTGCTGGACAGGGTGTCGCCGGTGGGCGTTGCACCCCCGCAATGAATGCTGCAGTGAAATGTAGGGAAAATGTCAAATCCAGTGTTGGATGCTTGTATGTTTGAGCGGCTGCGGCCCAAGAAACGCAGAGATGTGGTGGTTCGGATATGTAATGATGTACATCATGCACGCTGGCGCTGTCATGTGATCAAGTGCTGGATGGAGGAGCAACAAGGGCAGTCCCAGCAACAAAGCAAGTAGCATGTGGGCAAACGTCGACACTGATCAAAGCTGCTGCAAACATTGTGGCGCTCAACTCAACAGCGACACCAGACTTCCAATACAAGCCAAACCCCACAGGCGCCGCCTCAGCCCTGAGCCGCCAGCAGCCCGCCGCTACCGGGGCGCGTCGCGCCGACCCGACGCCGGCCCCTATCGCCAGCCCGGCCGAGCTCTGCACCCACATCAGGGCCGCCCTGCCCGCCAAACGCGCTGCCGCCGCCGCCGCTGTGGTCGCTTCCCAGCGCAGCGGCCGCCCGTGCCGGCCCCGCGCCAACCGCGCGCGTCCTGCCGCCGCCGGACGCCCCGCCTGCCGCGCGCCGTTCCGGCCCCACCGATTGCCCCGCCCGCCCCTCGTCAACATCGGCATCGCCGCCGTCCCCGCCGCCGAGCGCCGCGCAGTAGCCGCACCCCGCATGCGGCCCCGCCATCGCGATGCGCTCCAACACCGCCTCCAGCCCCTCCTGCCGCAGCGCCGCGTCCAGCCCCGCGTCAAGGCTCAGGGACCGCCGCAGCCGTGCAGGCCCCGGACCCGCATGCGCGGTGAGCGGCAGAGCGGGCAACGGCGACGGCGCCGCGCGCGGGCGCCCCCGCGCGGCGGGGCGCGACGTGGCAGCTGAGCTGGAGGCGCTGTTGGGGGTGCGGGCTGAGCTGGCAAGGGGGCAGGGCAACGTGTGGGCCGCGTCCTGGCAGCAAAGGACAGCAACACGCGC